GCACCCTCTCTAAGTGCGATACATATCTGCCTCCCCCCCTCGGCAGGTTGCCATGGTCGCCATACCTACTCTCTCTCTCCTATTGGTCCTGGCAGAGTGGGCAGGTCTGGTGGACGCGTCCCCCCACCTCCTGCTCCGGCCAAGCCCAAGAGAGCGTGATGCTGGGACCATCATGAACTTCAACATCGCTGTGATCCACGCCGGTGCTACGGTGCAGGCGGAGGCTGCGGTGGCGGGGCCTGGGGGAAGGGTGCTCTACCCGGGCTTTGGACGTGTCTACGGCTCCCTGGGGGAGAGCGTGGTCACCCAGTGGGGCTCTGCTAATGTCATCTGGCTACAGGTGAGACGCTGCGTCCTCTGCCTGGTGCTCGCTCAGCCTTCCTTGAAGGCAGAGAATAATGATCCATAATTCATAGGTATTGAGCGGCTGCTGTGCAAGTCCGACCGTAGCTTACACTGTATGTGCGATACGTCATACACCCAGCAGACACCTTCCACATAAAACATTGTCAGGATGCCCTGTCCTTGGCATTCAGCTCTATTGCTCTCCTGTTTTTCCCTCTTTCTTCATCCCTTCTTTCATCTTCCAGGTGAATGACAGCAGCCCTAAGACGGTGCTATCCCAGCTGTGTGAGCTGTTAGCGGCGCGGCCCCTACAGGGGCTGGTTTACGAAGAGGAGCGGCCCCCTCGCACAGCCTGGGGTCCTATGGCCCCCATGCTGGAGTTTGTGTCTGCACAAACAGGACTGCCCATAGTGGCTGTAGGAGGGGGAGCGGGGCTAGGGAGGATGCCACAGGTAGGAGGGGGGAGGTTGGGATTGGGGGTGAAGTTTGCAGCGTGTGTGCGTGTGTGTGTGGGTGTGTGTGCAAAAGCGTGTGCCACCTTGTGAGGTGATGCTAATTAGGTTTAAAGGGGAAACTGCTTATCTTGTAGAACTTACCAAACGGTGCACATTCAGTGTGACGAGAAGGTATTTGGAAGTGCCAGTAAGATGGAGAAGATGCTGAGGGTCAGCGTCGCTGATCTGCAGGAACTCGGCACTGTTTGATCTGTAAATGGCACCGATGGTGGATGTTGCTCTGCCTCTGATCTTCCTGGGAGGCAGGCAGCGAGCAGACACGAGTGTGTGCGCGAGTGCGTAGATGCGGTCGCAGGGAAAACGAGAGCCACGTTTCATAATCGAATGGGAGAAAAAGAGGATGGAAAAGCTGTGATTTCGTCCCATCCATTCACTCTGGAGGATTTAAATTGTAACACGTTGGTAAAGTTCCTTTGAAGATGCAGCGCAGCCCGGTCCTCGTCCCCTCCCATCCCTGAGCAGACTTTTTAGAAACACTCCCTCCTGGCCGTCATAGGCCTGGCTGCGTTAGCCCTTGGGCTGCTGCTTCCAGCATCGCCATGCGTGTGATTGGTGGTGCAGGAAGATGGGGCAGCTCAGAGCGTCGTAGTAAACCTGTTTCCAGTTTTTATGCCTTCGTTGTGACACATCTGCTGCTTTCCTCCCCCAAATCAGGAATCAGGTTCCATCTTTCTCCAGTTCAGCTCCTCTACGGCGCTACAGCTGGAGGTGATCTTTGAGGTGCTCGAGGAGTACGACTGGACTGCTTTTTCCGTGGTGTCCACACGTCACCACGGCTACCAGGACTTCCTGTCAGTGGTGGAGGGCCTGACGGATGGCTCGTTCATCGGCTGGGAGAAGAAGAGTGTGGTGATCCTGAATGTGACCGACGACCCAGGGGGGGCACGCACGCGCAGACTGCTGAAGGAGAACGAGGCGCAGGTGAGACGGGGGGGAGGGAGGAGGGATAGAGGGAGGAAAGGGGAGGAAGTGCTGACACTACCATTGGGGCCACCCTTTCTGACAGGTGGCTTCCCAGCCTTTTCCTTCCTTCTTCGTCACTCCCTCTGTGCCTCCATCTCTCTCTCTCTCCCCTCTCTCCTCTATCCCTCTGTTCTTCTCTTCCCACCTGCCATGACGGCACCGAGCGCTCATTGGTACAACCACAACCACATTCCATTTGCTGGCTAGCTGCTGGTGATGATTCAGTGAAGAGTTCTTCTGTGGGGTTCATAAGCTGTTGGTCCAGAAGCAAAAACCTGGCTCACAACACTGTCGTTGTTATTATTACAATTTAACCAATAAAAAAAAAATCATCCAGATGAAAACAAAGAGGAAAAAACCCATGTGTGTTTCCATTTTCACCATTTTCTCTCTGTGAATAATATTTTACAGCCGCAAAACAAGCTAGCTTTTAAACACAAACACAGGCAGTAGAGTCTCAATGGCGCGACACACGGGAGGCGGCATCGTCTCTCCTCCATTCATTTTCAATGAGACGTGCGCGACAAAGCGATAATCGCGGGTCTCCCTCCTACCAAGCGAAACGCGAGAAACGTGCATGTGAAATTTTGCGCTCGTGCACGTGTCGTGCACAGGCGACCCAGCGTCGCGATCCCAGAAAGTTGAAATATTTTCTACTTTTCATCGCTGTCGCTCGGACGAGGACCAATCAACGGAGGTTTCATTCACTGACCAATGAGCGGACAGGATGCTCCGTACATCTCTGAGCAAACATGGAGGAGAAGTTGATACTTGCTGTGACGGATTTCCCAGAACTGTACAATATTTCTACCAAAGAATATAGAGATATTCACAAAAAGGCCGCGGCGTGGGAAGTTGTTGTAAGATTTCACATAACTCTAGCAGCACCTTGTGAAACATCATATCTACTGCTTTTTTACTCTGAACCGCTTAAATAACCTTAATTCCCTCCAACCCGACACAGCCAAACAAAACAACGGAAGATTCGATTTCACCATGGAACAGAACGCATCGACGGCTTTGCCGCTGCCGTGGCTCGCCTCCCGTGTGTCAGGTAGTAAAAGCGACAGCGACGAATTTCGCTGATCGCGGTCGTTTGTCGCCTCCCGTGTGTCGAGCCCATCACCCCTCACACATTATATAGAACCATGCATTACCAGGGGAAACAAGATGGCGCTAAACACCAGTCGCAATTTTCTTGGTCCAAACGTCCTTTTTTGTCCGTGACTTCAAATGGTGTTTTCTCTTTGGGACTCTGGTAGTTTGTCCTAAAGTCGAAGCGGTAGCAGCCGGCTGTTTCTGCGTCTCTGATGCTATTGAACGCCCTCGTTTGCTTCCCCAAAGTTCATTTATCCGCAGCTTCAGACTAAAGTCACGGTTGTAGAAAACCCTGTTTAAAGAAAAAGTTAGAAAAGATCTTAGTTTTTCTCACCAAACTGCCATCGTTACGTGAAAAAGAGCTAAAACGGCTGCTAAGGTTTGTTCCGCCAAAATCTGTGTAAACGTAATCCGCCTCAAACTCTAACCCTAACCCGAACAGAAAGAAACAAAGAAAGAGAAGGATCTTTTATAAAGCACCTCTCAAGATGAAAACCAAGAGCACTAAAAGATGAATGAAAAGCCATCTGAGATGCTTGTTTTACCCGTTCTGATGAGGTCCTCGCACACATGAGAGGACATTAAACAAATCTCGGGAGTCCTGACAAACTTACCTCAGATCTGCATCTCACATGTCTGCAACTACTGCTTAACAACTGTGAACTGAGTCTGGGCAGTGGCGTGTCCAGATCTTTTAAAATGGGGTGGCCCAGGTGAGGCACTACTTGGTGCATGGGTGACACCAATGGTTATGCTTTAATTTTATTTTTTTTTACCCCAAGCCTTTTGTGGACAATGAAAAACCTATTTAAAGGGAATTCAGTGTGGTGGCACCTGGGGTGGCCAATAAGATTCCAAGGGTGGCAATTGCTACCCCGGGCCACTCCCTTGTCACACCCCTGAGTCTGGGTGGGGTGTTGCAAAATCATTAGCAACTATGTGCAAAGCTTGTCAATTTTCTTGTGTTGCAAGAATTTTGAAGACGATCTAAAAAGTTGTGCCTTGTTTCAGTAAAATAAATATAAATCCTGACTGAATCCAAACCACCAGTTAAAAGTGTCGGGGTGCACGTGCCCCCTGTCCCCACCCTAAGTCACGCCCATGGCTGAAACCTATTTGGAACTCTGTTACGTTTAGTTCCCGTGAGTCTGTGACATCTAATGAAGACACGTTGTCACAGAACTGAGCCAAGAAAATCTGCATGACAGTTGTTATTACATCATCAGCCCCATGTGACCTGGCCTTGTGTAACGCGTGCCACTTCGGTCAGATTCCATTTAAACTTTTTCTCGTGATTCTTTGTGTTTTCCACTCATCGCCACCAGTCACAGCCCAGTGAGATACTGGTTTTAATGAAGCACACCAGCTGACTGGCACATTGTAAAGTCACATGACTGACCCAAGGGCTTTGCAGAAGTGAGTTAATATCCCATTTATCTCCAGGGACTTAAGTAATTCCTTTGAGGCGAGCTCACCCTGGTTCACTTTTGCGGATGTCCTCCCATCACTTCACGGTGAGATGCAGCTGATCTTAATTTCTGGGAACCGTGGTTAAAGGTGGCTGTTTAACACCGTTTCAAAGGCTTTAATTGCTATTTTTCTAAAGATAACTTTAAATGTTTGGTTATAAACCCAGAATGTGAGAACCCTTTATCTTTAGAGCGTTTCAGTTCAACTTGAGCCTGATTCATGCTTCTCCGTCTGCGTCAGTGCAGAGACACGCATCAGGCTTTACAAACACATCTTTACCTTTACCTGCTGTTACTTTAATTGCCCCTCAGGTAGGGCTGGGCATTAAATTGAAAATGTATCGTTATCAAAATTTCTGACTTATCGTGATAATTTTTCCCATGTCAGTAAATGTGACAATACAACAATGAAAAGATGTGTGTAGGTTGGCAACGTTCACGTCCCTTTAAGAAGCTGTAGCACCTTGAGTCACGTAAAAATGGCCGTGTTCGAGATGAGCCAGTTCTACGCAGATTAGACCAGCGGTGATCGGCGCGCCGTGCATGCCGGTTAGATCTGTGTTCGAATTGACGCCGGCTTGCTCTGACGTCGTGCATACGTAGGCAACGATAACCTCGTGAGATCAAGGCGGCCGCAGATTTTAGAGCAAGGCGCTGCAGTTGCTCTCTACCGGCTGCAAAACCTAGAGGATGGCGGGAAACACCTGGCTCTCGCCTGATCTAAGATCTGATTGGTTCACATTCTGATCCGAACATCCAGTGGTAGAACATGAAATGTTAGTTGGTCACATGTATTCTGTAAATCATGTAACGTTGATGATGACAACTATATAGGCCATAAAGAGAAATGTGATTTGTGTTCTTTTGTCACGTTTCCTATGAGCACACTGAAGCTACAGCTGATAACCTTTACTTATTATTACAGTCATGTCTCCATATGCGTTTTATATCCACAAGCACGTGAGGACGTGTTTCAGCTGCTAACGGGCACCAGGATTAAAATAAATAATTAAACAAGTGTGAACTCTAATGCGATATTTTCATCCATCGTCACCCCGAGCTACACATGCAGGGAAATCTGTCCGACTTAAACGCCGGCTTTCAGCCGCTCCCCCTGCTGCGTCCGTCTGCTCTCGTCTGTTTTCCCGGCGAGGCGCAGCTCAACTCGAACACGGCCATTGTGACTCACCATAATACACGTGACAGCCCCACCTAGTGGACAACTTTTGTTACCTGTAGTTATCGTCCAATTATCGGTATCGGGGTGAAATCCTCAAAATATATGGTGATAATGATTTTAGGCCGCGTTGCTCAGCCCCACCCTCAGGGATAAATAAAGTTGTTCTGATTCTGGTTTGTTAGAAACGTCGTGAAAAGTGGTTTTATTTGGAGCAGTTTGGGACATTTTGAGCAGAATAAATGGTGGTTTTGGGTTGTACTCCTGCCACTCTTCCCTTTCCTTGTTCCCTTCACATGTTTATCTTTTCCTTCCAACCTGCCATTTCCCTCCACTTCATCATTTATCCTTGTTCTGACTCGAGCCTCCTCTTTGACCCTTCATGATCCTCTTGTTCAATTTTCCAATCATGTCTGTGTTCTTATGCCTGCCCCCCCCCCCCCACCCCCCCCCCCCCCCCCCCCCCCAGCCTCCCTCCCCGCATCTCGTTGCCGAGAGACAAACTCGGTCACCTCTGCTGCTTTGCTTTGCACCTTCGTCTCTGTTTGGCCATCGTTCATTCCTTCATCTGTGCACTCGGCTCCCTCTGCACGACTTCCCGCCCACAGGCCTCACTCCTGTTGGCACGGTTTGGTCTGGGTCTCTGTAGCCACGTTTACATGCGCATATTTAATCGGATTGAATGCCCATTCAGATCGAACATTCTGCATGTAAACATGTCAATCGGAATATTCTGATCCGATTCGGCCCAATCGGCTTGCAATCCGATTGAGAGAGGTGGTTTATTCCGTTCATCATTCCGATTGACGTGCATGTACACAGCCATTCGGATTGTTGGGGTAAAATAATGCCCACTGCGCATGTGTGCAACAGCGAGCGGGCCTCTCCGCTGTCATTTGGACTGCCTGACTTCAAAAATGACGGCGTAATTAACGAGCGGCGGCTTTTAAATCCGACGACAAGCCGTCCCCGTTTCAGTAATATTTAATTCAGAACTTACATTTTGTGGAAGTAAAATAAAAATCTGATTATTGCACCAATCACTCGACAAACATGTTCAGATCTGAACTGGAAGTACGCAGGTTTATCGCGGGGGTTGCGGCGCACGGATCCCCGTTTCTGTCAGCTTTGAACGCAGCAGCTTCTGCAGCAGGTGATGGAGACGCGCTTGTAAAGAACACAGGATTATACGGGTTTTACAGACCTGACTGGAGGCTGGTGTTGGGTAGGAAAACGTCCTCGGTTAAACACTCTGGACGACAGTAAAGTCCGTGTTAGAAGCACGTAAACGCAGATGACCTGAGATGCGGTTCATTAATGATGAACACAGGCTTCTAAACTTTCTGAACATCTTCTGTTATTTTGTTTTAAACAGATTTTTTTCAACAGTCTCAGCTGATTGTCACATGTTATTAATAATAAGCCACAACAGAGCTCAGTAATAAAACATGAGTCTACCCCCCCCCCCCGGGCAACGGCACAGCTGTCACTTCAGACCCGCGGACCAGCTGATCAAGAGGCAGAGACATAACCCTCCTTTATTTTAATCAACAATAAAATGCAGCAAAGCATAGATCTGCAGTTATTCACTGAAGAAAACGTAACTTCTATGAGCTAAATAAAAACATTAAATTGAATAAATGGATCAGGAAAGCAGGAAGAATAGTTATTTCTGTTTTTACATTTTTCATTTTGTTTCATGGCGTTTGTTTACAATTTTTCTTTCGGGAAAGGCAACTCTGCGCATGCTCAACCTTTTTAACCGGATTAAATGCTTGGTGCGTATGTACGCACGGCATGATCGGATCCTTTCAGTTCGTGTCCATGTGAACAGAGATTCGGAAATTCTGATCAACCAAGATTTCAATCGGATTGAGGAAATTTGGCTCATGTAAACGCAGCTACTGTCGCTGCTTATGTCCCAGCGTGGCTGCAGCGGCTCTGCATGTGGTTTCCTCCTAAGTGTGTGCACGTGAATCGGACTCCATAGGCTGCACTCTCTGGATGTAGCACTCCGTTCGAGGAGCTAACTATTCAACCTTCTTCACAACACCGCTCTTCCTGCAGCTTTCCGCCACTGCAGGGCTCACAAATGCTTGTCGTCACACGGCGGTGCGATTTCCATCCCATGCTCTCTTTCTCTCTGGTGCATGTGTTGCGATGTCCTCCAGATTGTTGATGACCCGATCCAGGTCTCAATTCACCGTCTGGGTCTTGTTCCATTTCTCTTCTAGCTTCTGCCTTGTTAGCATTCCTTCTGCTCTCTTTCGTTCTCCGTCATATGTTCCTGTCTTTTGGATTGTGTGTGTGTGTGTGTGTGTGTGTTTATCATACAGATTACGTGCTCTAGTCTTCTTTTCAGCGTCCCTCTCTCTTCTTCCCTGCTTCCTCCTCCCTCTCTGTCGCGCTCGGCCCCTACCTAATTCACCAGAGGGTTTATTGGCATAACGGCAGGATTGTTTAGCCAAGCCGTTGCAGTTCAAAACTCAGTGAAGGTGCAGGTCTCAGGATGTGCTTTCAGTCCGTATCCCCGACCACCTTCTTTCCAGTGCATGAGAGAGTTGTCCTCCTCTGTTTGTCCTTTGATTCCTTCGCCTTTTCCGCCACTCCACCGGTTTATCTATCCTTCTGCTCGGCACGCTTCCCTTCCTCTTCCTGGATATTTGTCAGCATTTACCCTTGCGGTCTCTCTTCCGTCATTCTCCTAAGCTCCATCTTAGTCGTGTCAATACCGTCCTTCATTCCTTTAGCTTTCCCTGTAACCCCTTAAAACCTCCCATTATTTGGTCAATCTCCACTCCTCCTCCGTCCCCTCTTCTCATCCCTCCATTCTTCGGTGTTTGCTGCAGAGAGCTCGTCCAAGGTCACAGTTGTCGTTCTGTGTTGTCTCTTTAATATTTTTTCTCTCCGGCCCCGGTCTTCAATCATCTCTGCTCTTCTTTTGCTGATATCTTTTATCTTTTTTCCGGCCGCCGGTTTTACAAAAATCTGCATTCCTTTGCTTTCCTTCACTTCCCCCGCCTCCCCTTCCCGATCTCCACAGAGTGACTATTCCCATCTTTGAATCTCCATTTTCCTGCTCTTGTCTCTCGATGTTTGTCCTCCTCTCTGCTTTTACAAAAACACATTTTAGAGGTTTCCCCACCCCTTTTCCTTCCCACGCGCTCGCTTTATTTGCACGTCTTCTCCTTTTCCTAAACATTTTGTAGCTCCGCCACTTGCAGACGTTTCATTTTCCCTTTCTTGTTTCGCCCTTTTTTATTATTAATTACAGTAACTCGTTCATCAGGCCCGAGCTCATTAAGCACTGACCTCCATCGCCTCCTGTACCTCCAGCTCCGCACACACACTCTTCCCTCCTCCTGGTGTGTGTTTGCTTTGCTTTACCCCGGCTTTCCACGGGAGCCGCCAGCAGCACGTTCCTGCAGCAGCACGTCATAGCTGCTGATAGGAACCGCTGTGGTCAACAGAACCTTTTCCACCGGAGCCGTCAGCAGCGCGAGTCGGCCGCGTCTCAGGAGCAGCATGTCGCGGCCTTTACGCGCCGGTTTTATTTTCTACGCGCGACGCCTCTGAAACGGGCCAAGTTCGACATTTTTGGGGAAGGAAAGACAGGAAATCGGACGCGGAAATGGAGAGAAGCTACAGAGATTTTCAGAATAAAGAAACGTGCTGCCTTCCAGTTGCTTTACTTTTGAAAACAGTTACTAACTGTGCGGCCCCGTGAGAAGTTATCACCTAGCTAGCGGTCTCCTTTGTTTTTCAGGTCCGTATTGGCGATTATAAAACGGACAGAACATAAAACACAAACCTTTTGGAGCCATGTTGTAGTTTTCTCCTGCTTGTTGTTGTGTTTACTGACGAAGTCACTCGTGTGACTTCGTGCTCGGTCGGTGACAGCTGCTCCCCTGCTGCTTCGCATCTCGTGGGAAGGGCCGAGCAGCAGCTTACACGAGCAACGTGCTGCTGATGGCTCCGGTGGAAAGCCGGGGTTAGAAATTGCACGCCCGACTTCCACAAGCCTTATCGCCTCACCACTATCTCTCCTCTTACCTCTCCCTGCTTTCTTGTTATTTGTGGATGTGGCTTTTTCTATCCATCCTCATCCTCTCCCACTCAGCTGCACCTCCTTCTCCAGCTGTATTTCTCCTCCCTGACTTCTCCCACCTTTTGTTTTGCTCCCCCTTTTCCCTTCCTTATCTCACTGGAGTGTGTGTGTGTGTGTGTGTGTGTTTGTGTGTGTCCCCGTTCCTGTTACCTCCCTGCTCCCCTTCTGTCCTCCCAGGTGCGTCTGCTGTACTGCTCTCAGGAGGAGGCCGAGCTGGTTTTCCGTGCCGCCTGGGCCGCCGGTCAAGCCGGGGCCTCACACATGTGGTTCGCAGTGGGCCCGGCCCTCTCGGGTCTGGGCATGGACAGCCTGCCTCGGGCTTTGTTCGCCGTACGGCCTCAGGGCTGGAGGGACGAGCCGCGCCGAAGGATTGCCCGGGGAGTGTCTGTGCTGACTCACGGGGCAGTGGCAATGCGCAAGGAATACGGAGCCACGGGCGGGCCGAACTTTGTCACCACCTGCATGACGGACGCCAATCAGACGCAGAGACTGCGAAGCAGGATGAGGTGAGACGGATGCAGGACGAGAGAGGTGACAGGCTCTAGATAAAACATGTTGGATATATGGAAATGCGGGGCAGCAGTAGCTCAGGTGGTAGAGCGGGCTGCCTCATGATCGGAGGGTCATGGGTTCGATTCCAGCTCCCGCCAGGCGTATGGTAAATGGCCTGTATTTGATATAGCGCCTTCTAGAGTCCTGGAACTCCCCAAGGCGCTTTACAACACAATCAGTCATTCACCCAGTCACACACACATTCACACACGGGTGGGGATGAGCTACAATGTAGCCACAGCTGCCCTGGGGCGCACTGACAGAGGGGAGGCTGCCGAGCACTGGCGCCACTGGTCCCTCCACCACCAGCAGCAGGCAACGTGGGTTAAGTGTCTTGCCCAAGGACACAACGACAGTGACAGACTGAGCGGGGCTCGAACCTGCAACCTTCCGATTACGGGGCGAGCAGTTAACTCCTGTGCCACCGTCGCCCCATCCTGCTGTTGTGTCCTTGGGCAAGACACTTCGCCCAACTTGCCTGTGTTAGTGGCGCTCAGAGGGGCCGACGGCGCCAAATGGCAGCCTCGCCTCTGTCAGACCTCCCCAGGGCGGCTGTGGCCACAAGTAGCTTACCATCACTAGCAGTGTGGGAATGTGAGAGTGTGTGAAAGCGTCTTTGGGTGTCTAGACAAGCGCTATATAAGTTCAATGCATTATTATTATTATTATTATTAAATAAAAAAGAGTTGCCATCAAATAAAACTCAAGACAAACAGATTTGGTCCATGGCCAGGATTGGGAGACAGATGTGTGTGTGTGGAATTAGCAGATTCCGTGTCAGGGAGCGCACACACACACACACACACACACACACACACACACACACACACACACACACCGGGGATATCTAAATCTGGGGCTGGCCACCGTCCATGCAAAACAGAGGTTGTTGCTGTGTGTAGTTGTGAGTTGGCAAAATTACCATCGCATCTGTAGCGAGCAGACCATGTCTCATGTTTATGAATGAGCTGCTTTTAATATATTCCTTCTAGGCCGTATAAACACGCAGCAGCAGGCTCAAGCAGGTCGCACAAGTGGTTCTAGTCACCTTCATTTTTAAACGAGTCTCCGTACATCGCACACGTGGTGTTAGGGAAGCTATGCTGATTCTGGCTACTGGAAATGGGCCAGACGTCTAATGAATGAGTTTATTTGCGGTGATTTTTGTAAATGACACTGAGCGCCAACGAAGAGGCAATTATCAGGAGGTGATTGATGGATTCTTCTGTCTTTGTTGTAAACTACATTCAGAAAAAAGAGGTTTTGCTTCCGTTCCCTTTTGCACTGCTGCCTGCTGTTCACTGTCTGGTACCACACGCTGCTGTTCCAGCGGACTCTTCCCGTCATGAAGAGATTATTTTTCTTTATTTATTGTTTTTGAAGCCAGCGAGAGCTTCTGAAGGCTCGTCCCATGATTGTGAGAGCCACCATAGAGGCTGAAACCTATGCAGAGATTAGCGGTTGTTTGATTCCTGAGATGCTGACAGGTGTGTGTGTGTGTGTGTGTGTGTGTGTGTGTGTGTGTATTTGATTAACAAACAACCGCTGAGTGTCACCATGCAGCTCCTGTGATGTGGTTTCAAGTGGAAGGAATCCTGGCAGCTTTAGGATTTCTGCTTAAGCCCTCTAATACCGTCTAAGAAAACCTCGTTTCTAATGTGTGTTTTCTTTTAACCGTCGCATTATCTGGCTGTCTGTTCCGCCACCACACAGGTACTTCAGCAACATCACGCTCGGTGGCCGAGACTACTCATTTAACATCGACGGCTACCTGGCCAATCCCTTCCTGGATGTCATCTCCTGGACTCCTGGACGTGGGTGGGAAGATGTAAGGACATGAAATCAGTTTTTATTTCATGTGATCCAGGGGCGTGTCCAGGGAGTTGCCTGGGGTAGCACATGCCACCCTTGGAATCTGATTGGCCACCCCAGATGCCGCCACACTTATTTACCCTTAAAGAGGCTTTTCATTGTCCACAAAAGGCTTGAGGGTAAACACACAAAAAGCATAACCATGGGTGCCACCCATGCACAAAGTTGTGCCTCGCCTGGGCCACCCCATGTTAAAAGATCTGGACACGCCACTGTTTTGATCTTGTGTTTGTGGCTTTTGGCGCATGTTCTTTCAACATAAACCGTGTTTGTGAATGTGAGGATACCCGCCAGGACTGTGTGGACAGACCCAAAGTGCACCTGAAGTTCAACGTGGCTGTGAGCACCCACTGGGAGTGGAGAAAAGCTGCTGCTGCTCTTAGTTTATCCTGCTTTAATGCTGATGATGTCACTGGCGTACTGAGTCACACCTCTGATGCAAACGCACTCACAGCTCAAACAGGAAAGTCACGTTCATGTCCTCTGATGAAGATGCTTATTAAAGGTCAACTTTACTCGTATTTTTAAAGGTGTGGAACACCGAAAAACAAATTTTAATGATTATTCCTGATTATAATCAGTCTGAGTTACTCCCCAGTCACTTAGGCCTAGTCCACACGTAGCCGTAAAAAAAAAAAAAAAGAATATCCGCCCTTCCAAAAACTCTCATCCACACCACCTCATTTAAAAAAAAACTGTCCACACGTACCCGGATAAATACGTTGTTAAGGACATGCCAGGCCTGTAGGCGGCAGTACTTCCCCCGTTCTTAACCTCGTCCTTCGTCTGTGGTCTTCCGCAAGGAGCAGTAATTCCGCTTGCAAAAACAAACAAGCAAAAAGCGCTTGGACAATTGATAAAGCGAGCGCAGCTCTGAGGGCATCCATGCTGTCAGCTAGTGTAAACACAGGTCGCACACGTGATGTCAGCATGTTTTTGTCGCGGAAAGTGACGTTGCGGACCTTAAAACTCCGGTTTTGTCCGTCCACACGCAGACACCCAAAACGGAGAAAACGCAGATCTTCACTTTGGCCGGAGTTTTTAAAAAGATCCATTTTCGTGTGAAAAAACTCTGTTTCGTGTGGATGACAGACCAAAACGTAGAAAAATATCTACGTTTTGGCAGATCCACGGCTACGTGTGGACAGGGCCTGAGTCTAGCCTCCTACAGCCAGTGTTGTGCCCGAACGCGTTCATTGAACGATCGTTCGCAAATTCTTTCATTTTTTTCGTGAACGTGAACTGAACTCGTTGGTTTTTTGCCTGACTAAATGGCCTGTATTTGATATAGCGCATTCTAGAGTCCTGGAACCCCCCAAGGCGCTTTAAAACACAATCAGTCATTTACACATTCACACACTGGTGGGGATGAGCTACAATGTAGCCACAGCTGCCCTGGGGCGCACTGACAGAGGCGAGGCTGCCGAGCACTGGCGCCACCGGTCCCTCCGACCACCACCAGCAGGCAACGTGGGTTAAGTGTCTTGCCCAAGGACACAGCGACAGACTGAGCGGGGCTCGAACCTGCAACCTTCCGATTACGGGGCGAGCACTTAACTCCTGTGCCACCGTCGCTGACGAATGTAAAAGTGAGTGCGTTCGTCCTGGCGTGCGTGAACGGGTCTGTGAACGCATTCTTTGGCCGTTCTAGCTCCAGATCTCCACGGAGCTTTTCCGGAGCTAAAGCCTAGCAAAAACTTCCTGTTAACCGTAGAGTTTATAAAGGTAGAACCTGCAAAAGCGGCCAAACATAGGCCGTAGCAGTCGGTGCGGCGTCTACTTTTCTAGGTCTATGCTGTGTGCAGGAGTCAAAGTTCATTCAGAAAAATTTAAACGGGACTTAACCGAAAGATTGCCATTTTTTAATGTTTTGCACTTTTAATATGTTTAGTTTGCTACCTCAGCCTGCTTCCTAAGATCGATCTATCTATCTATCTATCTATCTATCTATCTATCTATCTATCTATCTATCTATCTATCTATCTATCTATCTATCTATCTATCTATCTATCTTATCTATCTATCTATCTATCTATCTATCTATCTATCTATCTATCTATCTATCTATCTATCTATCTATCTATCTATCTATCTATCTATCTATCTATCTATCTATCTATCTATCTATCTATCTATCTATCTATCTATCTATCTATCTATCTATCTATCTATCTATCTATCTATCTATCTATCTATGTATCTATCTATCTATGTATCTATCCGTCTGTCTGTCTGTCTGTCTGTCTTAATTCAATTTTATATAGCACCAAATCACGACAAGCGTCGTCTCAAGGCACTTCACATAATAAACATTCCAATTCAGGTCAGTTCATTAAGCCAATCAGAAATAATGTTTCCTATATAAGGAACCCAGCAAATAGCATCAAGTACAGCAATCCTCATACTAAGCAAGCATACAGCGACAGTGGAGAGGAAAACTCCCTTTTAACAGGAAGAAACCTCCAGAGAATCCTGGCCCAGTATAAGCAGCCATCCTCCACGACTCACTGGGGATCGAGAAGACAGAGCACACACACACACACACACACACACACACACACACACACACACACACACACACACACACACACACACACACACACACACACACACACACACACAAAGACAAAGTAATGTGTCTATAGTTATATCTGTCTGTCTGTCTAACTAAACAAACTTTCCCGACACTGCCTACACCTATCTCCTGCATTAGCTTCTGATAGAAAACAGACGGTGAAACTCTATGATTAGAAATCCTGACAGATCTACGTCACACTGTCATTTAACATTCATGGGCACACCCATCTGGACTCACGACGGGGAAGGCTGTTGTTGGTTTAGCGTCCAGGAAACAGCAGAGAACGTCTCGGCTAGTAGAAGCTAACAGTTAGCATTAGCTACTTAGAGTGATCGATTGTTATCATAAATAATAATTTAAAATGGTTTTCAGTGAAGTTGGCCTTTAATCAAACCTTTTTCATTTTCACACTTTAGACCAGTGCTTCTCAGTTAGTGGGCCACGCCCCCCTGGTGGGTGCAGGAGATGCTGGATCCATTATTATTAGCATCTTTTTTCATACATGAATGCTAAACCAGCCTCCAGTCACTAGGTGGCAGCAGCACTCACAGTAATCACCAGACTGCCTGTTTAACCCAGCTTAAAAAGCAGCTTATAAACAAAGCGCTGCAGCGATCTGATGGAAGGAACGGCAAAGGCGTTGCAGTGAGGCTGCTCGATTACGGCAAGAATGATCGATTCCACAAGTGTGGTGTGAGTCTCACGTTCAATGTGACAGCTAGCATCCCTAAAAAAGGAATATCCACTTTGGATATGGCTTGCTGTATCTTAAATGAATTTTGGTTTTAAAACCAAAATAATAAAGGCTTGTGATTGGTCAGTTGGTGTACGTGATCATGCTGCCTGCACATGTGCACGTGATTTCCTTTCTTAAGGTCAGAAATGATGGTCTGAAGTGCATGCTGGGTATTTGTTAATCTACTGGGATTATCGATGAACAAGGGCTGCAGAAAGTAGCTAAGGGTCAGCTGAAGTGGTTGTTTGCTTGTTAGAAATGGTGACAAGAGCAGCGAGTAGTCAACACTGAGGCATGGTGTGGCACAAGAGTAAACCACGAAGGAGGAGCAAATAATTTGATTATTTCGTGTTACGATAGTTGAAAACCCAGATTGTAACTGAGATTAAAATTCAGTTACTATTCAGTTCTGAACTGGAGCTAGTGGTGAAAGCCGGCAGAAAAAAACAAGAAAACACAATGAAGGCTTTTGAATTTCAGTGGATGCAGATAACGAGTAAAAGCCCCAGTAGCAGCTGGTGTAGAAACACTTTGGTGGAGCTAATGTGCTAATGGATTTCCCTTCGCAGTCCAACATCAGCATTAGTAGCAATAACTATAATTCCATAATAATAAATAACAGCAGTGCTGTTGATGTCACGTCTAGAAAAACATGGGTCTGTTCAGAGGAAAAGAAGAGATAACCGTGGGTGTCTCTCAGTGTCAAGGCGCCTGGCCTGGCGAGGCGCGAGGACACTGTCCTTCGGTCAAAGAAAACGGTTAAATGGAACAGACTTGTATCACGTGACCACGGCTTCCACGACGTAACGTCATGTGACACGGGAGATAATGCTATATTTTATACGTATTAGTTTCAATATAAATATATAATGAGCCTTTAACTTTTTAAATTATGTATATGTTTATTAAATTGAATATATAAGTGAGTTACTACCCGCTAGCCACAGAAGCTGCAACTACTAAGCAACTAACCAACCATAGATAACTTCTTTGGATCTAAAAAAAAAACATTTAAAATTAGTTGACTTACTTTTAAACTAGAAATTTGCCCCTGAAGTAGCTGCCAGCTTCTGATCCGCCATCTTTTTGAAAATACCACGGTGTATTGTGGGTAATTTTTGACCAAGGCTAGGCTACAAGACATCTCCCGTGTATCCCTGCTCAGCTAGCTAAATGGCTAACAAATGGAGAGCACACGCCTCGGTAGAACATGAACATTGGAACACGTCTTGGTGGCTCCCGATGATGTATCTCCTAGGCAACCGGGGCGGGGCCAAGACATCAAGGCTAGGTTCCTTGGCATTGAGAAACACTGCTAGTGAGCAGTTAGCTTAGCGTGCTAACAGTATGCTATTTGTTGATTCAACACAAACATGATAGTAAACCAGGGGCGACCTCAGACTTCCACCTTGTGAGTTACGTTTACAGAGACCCCTCCTTTCCACTGCACGCAAAAGCAACGTGAAACGTTCGTGAAACGTTCTACGCCGGAATCGGCCGCCGCTATAATGGATGAGATCTTTTCCAATAGCAGGGAAGTGTGACATTTTGGACATGCCCCAGAAGCGAGTGCACTCTTCCAAATCATGTGAAACTCCACAGTTTAGATTGAGCCAGACAGGAAGTCAAACACAAAAGCAGTGTAGAACATCAGGAAACTTTCAAAATAAAGGTCACGTGCAGTACATCATTTCCTGTGAACTTCTGTAACCCATTTAAACAGAACAGAAAATAACCCTCAGACCTTTATTGATGCAGTGCAGCTGCCTCTCTTCTTGTTTATTATTGTGTGCAGACTTCTAAAATCACTCGTGGCGTTGCTATTCTCCCGTAGTTTTGTGACGGCTCGGGGTCAGATGTGTGGAACGCTTTCGCCCCCATTTTGCGTCAGAATTGCTTCCGGATGGGAATGCTTTAGAGCAAGACAAATTTGGAGGAGGGTGAATTTTGTTGTTTAAATTAGCCATTAACTCACCGTGAATGAATTTCTCTGAGCTGAGGCTGCTCGGTGGTCAGAATAAAACCTACAATTTTCGCATTTTCGCACAGATTAAATGTTGGGAACTGATTTAACTTTTGGGAAGAAGTAAATAATTAACATTTAAAACCAAAACAAGTGTGTATTTATGATTATGTGAGAATTGTACGTAGACATAAGTAATTATGAGCTCATCTTTTGATCACATGAATATGAACTTCGAATTGTTGACACATTTTCTTTAGTTCTCCTTAAACAACAAAAGTGTTGTCATCTTGATCAGCTGATGCTGATTGGTTCTTAGTTCCTGGCTATAGTCACAAGTGTTTTCTGAGAAAAAAGAGCTGATTTGATTGGCGCTTAAAATTTCTGAGTGTAATCACTGTGGTACACACCACCCTGGCGTGTCATGAATATAAATATAAAGCTGTGGTTTGTTCTGAAATCCATGGCACCCATTTCTCTTGTAAAACAGGCTTTTCACTCTTGTTGGTGTCAGAGGAGAGCCCAGCGCTCATTTCCCCACCATCACATCAACTATTTACCGCCACTCTGCACATGCATGAAGACACACAACCTTCTCAGATCCTATACTCCGCAGAGACGCACACACATAAGCACAAACACACACTGGTGGTTCTCAGCCTCCTGCTGGTTTTAACAGCCCACCAGAGTCCGGTCTCAGCGTGTCGTAGCATGCTGACTTCTGCCATATCCCTTTCAATTAGAGGCTCCTGTGCTGGTCCTTCGACTGTGTGCAAACCTGGGGTGCGAATCCCGCCCACGCAAACGCTTCGAGCTTGCACACATACATTCAGAGAAATGAGAGAACATACCGCATGCTTATGCCCTTCTTGCATAAACCCTGTGCACACACACACAGTGAGGATAAGACACCTGTATCTTCCCAGTATGCACATCCAAGCTGCTGAATATTTAATGCTCTCTTTACAATGACTGCACCACTACTTAGAGCCGGGGAGCGCCCGTCTTAACAGACTGAAACCGTGCAGACGTGCTCTGCAGGTTGTCCAGTGTTAGCAGGGTTCTTTCAGCTGTGGTCACAGCCCACGGTGCTAGATGTTCCTGGATATTAGCAGAATTTAATGATCATTTATTAAAGCCACTCTCCACTCCCAAAGAATAAAACTTTGGTTTAAAGTGGCCTCCAGTCTTCAAACTTTAGCTTCGAGCCACGGCACTTTCTGTGCCGCATAAAATTCAAGCTGTTTTTAGACTTTCAGCTGTAGTTTTCCTTCTTCCCTTCTTTTTCTGACATGAGTGTCTGCTCCTTTCTAGGTATTTGTCTTTTAGAGTGCAGCGTGCTCTCCAGTAAGCTCAGTCTGTTTCCTGTCTGTGCTGCCTCGGAGTGTTTTGATTGAATGTCTGTTGCCGAGCTGCGGTCGAAGTGCAGTCAAGACACTGTCACTGTTGCCAGCGCTCACATTACACAGACAGGCTGGCTGCACAGAGCTGCCAAACTTTCCTCCTCTGGCCGGCTTAAGCACACACACACTTATTCATGTTCTGTTATTTAGTGTATTTATGTTTGTATGCTTGTGCATGGGTTTGCAGCTCTCTTTTATCGATCATACGAAGAAGTGTTAAAAAACCGTCTTACTGAGGGTATCGTTGCCATTCAAGTGTGAGAAAACGGTGATTCAGCTAAAGACCGTCCTGACGGACATTTAGAGGTCAGCGGTGGACATGGAGAAATGCCGGCTCGCAGAGTTAAGAGCCGATTCAACAACACAACTCTTATGGGCTCGACACACGGGAGGCGACATCGCCTCTCCTCCGTTCATTTTCAATGAGACGTGCGCGAAAAAGCGATAATCGCGGGTCTCCCTCCTACCAAGCGAAACGCGAAAAACGTGCGTGTGAAATTTTGCGCTCGTGCACGTGTCGTGCACAGGCGACCCAGCGACGCGATCCCAGAAAGTTGAAACATTTTCGACTTTTCATCGCTGTCGCTCGGACGAGGACCAATCAACGGAGGTTTCATTCACTGACCAATGAGCGGACAGGATGCTCCGTACATCTCCGAGCAAACATGGAGGAGAAGTTGATTATTATTATGTTTTATAGTAAAATCAGAAGTAAGATTTCACACAACTCTAGCAGCACCTTGTGAAACATCATATCTACCGTTTTATTAACTCTGAACCGCTTAAATAACCTTAATTCCCTCCAACCTGACACAGCCAAGCAAAACAACAGAAGATTCGATTTCACCCTGGAACAGAACGCGTAGACTGCTCTGCCGGTGGCCACCTCCCGTGTGTCGAGCCCCTTAGACTGACTCACGTACGTCTTATGGGCTCGACACACGGGAGGCGACAAACGACCGCGATCAGCGAAATTCGTTGCTGTCGCTTTTATTACCTGACACACGGGAGGCGACCCGCGGCAGCGGCCAAGCCGTCGGCGTGTTCTGTTCCATGGCGCAATCGAATCTTCCATTCTTTTCTTTGACTGTGTCAGGTTGGAGGGAATTAAGGTTATTTAAGCGGTTCAGAGTTAAAAAAGTGGTAGATATGATGTTTCACAAGTCATCTCTCTATTCTTTGGTAGAAATATTGTGCAGTTCTGGGAAATCCGTCACAGCAAGTATCAACTTCTCCTCCATGTTTGCACGGAGGTGTACGGAGCATCCTGTCCGCTCATTGGTCAGTGAATGAAACCTCTTCTGATTGGTCCTCGTCCGAGCGACAGCGATGAAAAGTTGAAATTATTTCAACTTTCTGGGATCGCGCCGCTGGGTCGCCTGTGCACGACACGTGCACGGGCGCAAAATTTCACACGCACGTTTTTCGCGTTTCGCTTAGTAGGAGGGAGACCCGCGATTATCGCTTTGCCGCGCACGTCTCATTGTGTCGAGCCAATTAGAAGTATTGAAAGCCTGTGAGCAAAACTGGACTTGAGCCTTCAACTTGTGTTGGTTTTCTTTGTCATTTAAGCCAGGTGAAATTAAACAAAGCTCTGGCCCCGGGCAGCTCTTCAGACTGAGGCCCTGTCCACACGTAGCCGGGGATCTGCCAAAACGTAGATATTTTTCTACGTTTTGGCCTGTCATCCACACGAAAACAGAGTTTTTTCACACGAAAACGGATCTTTTTAAAAACTCCGGCCAAAGTGAAGATCTGCGTTTTCTCTGTTTTGGGTGTCTTCGTTTGGACAGAAAAAAACGGAGTTTTAAGGTCCGCAACGTCACTTTCCGCAACAAAAAAATGCTGACATCACGTGTGCGACCTGTGTTTACACTAGCCGACAGCATGGATGCCCTCAGAGCTGCGCTTGCTTTATCAATTGTCCAAGCGCTTTTCGCTTTTTTGTTTTTGCAAGAGGAATTACTGCTCCTTGTGGAAGACCACAGACGAAGGACGAGGTTAAGAACGGGGGAAGTACTAGTTATATATATATATATATATATATATATATATATATATATATATATATCAGCAGTAGCTCAGGAGGTAGAGCAGATTGTCCAGTAATCAGAAGGTTGCAGGTTCGATCCCGGCTCTGACCAGAGAATTCTGCTGTTGTGTCCTTGGGCAAGACACTTAACCCACCTTACCTGCTGGTGGTGGTCGGAGGGACTGGTGGCGCCAGTGCTCGGCAGCCTCGCCTCTGTCAGTGCGCCCCAGGGCTGCTGTGGCTATGTTGTAGTTCATCCTCACCAGGGTGTGAATATGTGTGTGAATCAGTGATTGTGTTGTAAAGCAGGCCATTTACCATTTTTTGATGACGATCGTTGCCGGTGTCAGCAACTCTCAATAATCTGCTGCAGGAAAACCATAAATGTGATAATAATGGGAATACGAACCAACGTTTTCACTGATGTTTGTAAATCTCTTCATCACATAAACCATCCTGAAGAGAATCAGATGAGAAAAGCGTATTCTCTAAATTTGGAAACCACGCCGAGTCCAAATATGGTTCCATGAACTAATTCTGTCATTCAGCTTGAAAACCCGTGTTTTAGTAACTTCAAGCATAAGTAAGAGATGTTCAGCACCTTTGGCTTCAAGAGCCACAGTCAAAGTCAACGCAGTTGGTGTGGTTTGATCGTTTTAGACGTTTTTGCTCTGCACTGTAAAAATTATGTGTTGATTTATCTTTATTAACAAAGAGAAGTGTTTGTTTACTGCACCTCTCTCTGATGTGTCTGTCTTATGCTCCCCAGGTAGGCTGGTGGGAAAACGGTGTGCTGCGGCTTCGTTACCCAGCCTGGTCTCGATACGGGCCGTTCCTTAAACCGCCCGACGATGCCCAGCACCTGCGTGTGGTCACGCTGGAGGAGAGGCCATTCGTCATCGTGGAGCTGGCGGACCCTGCTTCTGGGACTTGCATCCGTGATTCAGTTCCCTGCAGACGACCCCTTAATGCCAGGTCTGAGTGCTACGTTTTATCATTAATGTGACGGTATCAAAGTTCTCCTTTACATGAAGACTGATTTATACACCGCCTGGCCAAAACAAAAGTCACACTCTCTAATATTTCATTGGACCTCCTTTAGCTTTGATTACGACACACATTCACTGTGGCGTTGTTTTAATAAGCTTCACCAGATTTATCTCCATCCAGTGTTGCATTAATGTTCCACCAAGATCTTGCACTGATGATGGTGGAGTCTGACCGCTGCACAAAGCCTTCTCCAGAACATCCCAAAGATTCTCAGTGGGGTTCAGATCTGGACTCTGAACCACTCTCTCACTATCTGACCCGATGAATCCTGGCTCTGTCATCTTGGAATATGGCCGCGCCATCAGGGAAGATGGAATAACCTGGTCATTCAGGATATTCAGGTAGTCAGCTGACCTCGTTCTTGGAGCACATCCTGTTGCTGGACCTAGACCTGACCACCTGCAGCAAGCCCAGATCATAGCACTGCCCCCACAGGCTTGTACAGTAGACACTAGGCATGATGGGTGCATCACTTCATCTGCCTCTCTTCTTACCCTGATGCGCCATCACTCTGGACCAGGGTCCATCTGGACTCATCAGACCACATGACCTTCTTCCTTTGCTCCAGAGTCCAATCTTAATGCTCTCGAGCAAACTGAAGCCTTTTTTTTCCAGTTTTCCTGACTGATTAGTGGTTTTCTTACGGCTACACAGCTGCTCAGTCCCAATCCCTCTCAGTCCCTTCACCTTGTGGGTGTGGAAATGCGTTTACTTTCATGATCAACCAAAGCCCTGAGTTCTACTGTTGTTGTTTTTCTGTTTGATTTCACCAGAGGTTTAAGTGTTTGCCAATCGCAGTGATTCAGGATTCTTTTCTTATGGCGACGGTGGCACAGGAGTTAAGCGCTCGCCCCGTAATTGGAAGGTTGCAGGTTCGAGCCCCGCTCAGTCGGTCACTGTTGTTGTGTCCTTGGGCAAGACACTCAACCCAAGTTGCCTGCTGGTGGTGGTCGGAGGGACCGGTGGCGCCAGTGCTCGGCAGCCTCGCCTCTGTCAGTGTGCCCCAGGGCAGCTGTGGCTACATCGTAGCTCATCCCCACCAGTGTGTGAATGTGTGTGTGAATGTGTGTGTGAATGGGTGAATGACTGATTGTGTTGCAAAGCGCCTTGGGGGGTTCCACGACTCTAGAAGGCGCTATATCAAATACAGACCATTTACCATTTTACCTCAGAGATGATGGGTCCCAGCTATCCTTCCAGATGTTTAATTATGCATTGGACAGTTCGTAACCCAGTTTCAGTCGTTTCTGCAATCTCCAGATGTTTACTCTGCTCGATGCCAATGATCTGACCCTGAAAGCTGAAAGGCAATCGCCCATGCAGTAATTATCCAATAGGAGGCGCCTACCTATTAGGTAAATCCAAGTGGAGACTTCATTTTGGCCGGGCTGTGTAATAAATTAATCTGAAAAATCAACAGAATGAGGAGCAGTTAGGTTCAAAGTTTTTTTTATCAGAGCTGTGAACGAAGTTTTAATGAACTAATGTAACATCTGTCATCTGTCAAAACTGCTGTCTTTTCACTGCGAGTTCGTAATCGATAACAGGCTCCTCTCCAGGAGACTGACTCAAGCCTGGAATGGGATCTAACCACAGAATATCTTTATGGTTCACCAGCTTCTCCAGGAACGACTGTCATTCGCTGTTTTATCAAACCTGCAGTCAAGACCTTTCCTTCACTTTCTAATTTTGCTTATCTGCACCTCTTCCGCAGTGCTATTCATGAAGGCATGGCACCTCTGAAGCAGTGCTGCAAAGGCTTCTGCATCGACATCCTCAAGCGACTTGCCAAGATCGTGGGCTTCACCTACGACCTGTACTTGGTGACCAATGGGAAGCATGGGAAGAAAATCGATGGGGTTTGGAATGGCATGATTGGAGAGGCAAGTCACTGTTAATGTGTTTGTGTGGATGCTTGTGGTTCTGCCTGTCTGCCCGTGTGAGAGATGTGCTCTCGTCGTGAGGCTAGTAGTACCCGTGCACGCGTGAAAGGTGTGTGTGGCGTTGCCTCTGCAGATTTTGCATCGTTGTTTCAGACGTAAAAGCGCAGAAGATCCATCAGCGTGTGGTTTTCGGTTTCTCGGCGTCGCGTAAATGGGCGTGCAAGCTTTAGCCACTTACCAACGGCTTGCAATCAGACAGCTGTCATTTGTCGTGCACGAAGAAACACAAATGTCTAGACACAACGGGCAAAGCTGCAGCGTGCACACTTTCCACGTCGCGTTTGTCATCCTCCCTCTCACAAGCTCGTGCACGTGTTGTCAGCCACCCCCCGGCTAGTCGTGGTGGGATTTTCTTGGCCACGTGGGTCGTGAACTCCCATCGCAGAGATGCTGGTAGACAAACAGACACGCACACATGCATCACTCACATCTGAGATCAAAGCACCGGCTGCTGCTTCGCTGAAGCTCCCTGCTGTTTCCAACTTTCTCCCCGAAGGAGCGCCATCAGTCGCGGGTTCTAAAATGGTCCCACCGAGCTCTCCGGTCCTTATCATCTGTTATTTGACCGCGGGTCAGAGCTGACAGTCGAATCCTTTCTTTTTTTTTTTCTACACGCAATAAGGCCACACATATTTTGTTTTCTCAAACTAATTTCTGTCTTTTGATGAGCTGCTCCAAAGCCTGCCATTCTTTGATCAGGTAATCCACCGACTTGGCGACGACGAGTGGAGGGGGCTTTGCGTTCCGCCTCGCTCGGGTTTTTCTGCTGATTTGCTCAGAAGAGCGGATGTGCCACGTCTAATGTAGATTAACATTTCACTCGTACAATCGGCAGACGCAGCGGTTTTCAGGTCGTGCATGGCGGTGGCGGGGAGGAGATGGGCCCCGGCTCGTTTGGTATGCTAAGGAGATGCGCGGAGAGACACGTGTTCCGTAATTGTGCAGCACAGACTCACCGCTTTGACCTCGTGTTTGCGCGCTCAGAGACACGCAAAAGTTCAAGGCGTCAAGGTGTCGGGATCTCACCTGCAAGAATATTTTAGTGAACTGTAAAAAAAAAAGGCTTTGTCCGTCTGTTACAGTCACGTGACTTACATAATTCAATGTCTCCCTTGTTAGGTGGTGTATAAGCGGGCAGACATGGCTATTGGCTCACTGACCATCAACGAGGAGCGGTCAGAGGTCGTGGATTTCTCCGTCCCCTTCGTGGAGACGGGGATCAGTGTCATGGTCTCCCGTAGCAACGGAACCGTCTCACCATCAGCTTTCTTAGGTAAGAAAGCAGCCAGCTGCTGCACAGAAACCAATCTAACTGTAAAGTGTTGAGTTAGCGCAAAGCGCCTGAGTCTTTGGTGGCTGGCCTCCACACCTCCTTCGGCTCTTCTCCTTTTCAGTTTTTTTCTTCTTTCTTAGCCGCTCGTGTCTTTTTAACTTCTTCTTCCGCGCCGTCAGCACACTGCAGGCCCCCGTAGGAGAAGAGTGTTACTGACTTATAGACTGCATTGAGGAGATCTTTGAGAAGAGTAGCGATGTTTATGGACTGGAGAATCTGTTTACTCGAGTGCTTTCTGTCTTCGCTGCACAGGAGCTTGATCCCTGCGTGTTTACAGCAACAGACCAGCCGATGAAAGTGTTTTGTTTCTGCCGTTGAATGAAATAATGGTGCAACCTTCTCATGTCTTCCTTCACAGAGCCCTACAGTCCAGCCGTGTGGGTGATGATGTTCGTCATGTGCCTGACTGTTGTGGCTGTGACTGTCTTCATTTTTGAGTTTTTCAGCCCCGTGGGCTACAACCGCAGCCTGCAGACTGGCAAGAGTGAGTGATGAGTCAAAGCCGTCAGTTCTGATGAATGGGTCTGAGTAAAGTCCATCACTGATGACTAATAGATCAAATACTCAACACCTCCTGAAAACCTTTTGAAAGAAAAAGGATGTCATTATGATATTTTTTCCCCTTTTTTTTAAACGTGTAAAGAAATTTGGATTGAAGTGAGATTTTTTTTTATCTCGCTGTCCGACCGCTCCGGTGTCTCATTTATAATTAACCGGAGGGCATACTGAATCCTTCACTGTGAGCCTGCCAAATTATGCGTACAGTTTATTGAACTGCGTCCAAGTATTCTCAATATGAAAGCACCGCGTTTATTATTCAGCGGTGTAGTTTGCACCTCTGTGATACTCGGCGCGCTTCGGTCCAACACCCCGCTGCAAGATCGCTGCGCTCCACATTATTCTAGCTCTCATCGTCCTGCAAATGCCGCTCATTCACTCTCATCTCTTCCTTCTCCTCCTCACCATCATCCTGTAAAGGCAAATGTATCTGAACTCTTTCAAAAGCCATTTGCACCATGTGGTTTAATCATTTGTAAGATCATGCAGCGGCTGAAATGAAAGCATCTGTCCTTGAAATGTATAGTTACGGCTTTATCGGGAGTTTTTTATTCCTCCCATGTGCTGTAGGCCTTTACATTGTTGGAAGTAGGATTTAAATCTGCTTCTTTTTTCCCCGTTCCCACACCACAGAGCCATGGAGAAGTATTATCCCCTACACAGATTTTCAGTTTGCCGATCTGAACGTGCTAAAACAAACGTATTTCATTGTCTAACAAACGTACATAAATAAGTACAAAATACCTTTTAAATAGAACAATTTTATTAAGTGAAGGAAAAAAACGCACTAATCTGACCTCATGTGAAAATGTACACTGCAAAAACTGATTTGTAAGAAAGTAACATTATTTGAAATATTTTTAGTCTAAAAAGAAAATAAATTCTTCTCCAGAAAAATAAAATGACCTAAATAAGGTGGACATGTTTAAATATGGTCCAAATTTTCTTGTTTCGAGTAAAATGTTTGCTAATGGGCTAAGTAAAGTTTGCTTGGCTAGAATTCGTAAAACTAGCAAATGAAAAATTAGCTTATTTTGCTAATTTTAATGATTCCATCCAGTTGCAGTCCTTTAGATGTTTTTCTGGGCTTCTTTTGTTCTTAAAGGTGTGGAACACATTTAATCAATACATTCACAGAGGTCTCTAGTAGGAACGAATGCTTTTTAGGTCGTACTCTGGGGAAAAAGCTCCGGTGCGCCCGTTTCTGGATCTAAAAGTGAAACAGATCAGAGTTGAGCTTCAGACGACAAGATCTGGAGTCTTATTTCCTGATATTAGGACATCACCCGTCTGATTGGCTAACAGCAACAAGACTCCACCACCACCTCTGTTTGCTCTGCAACGTTGATGTTTCATCTCCACAAATAACGCAAGCCTTGAGGAGTTCTAATGTGTGGTGCAGTTGCTAATGCTAATGGTTAGCTTCTGCTAGCTGATATGTTCTCTGCTGTTTCCTGGACACTAAACCAGCAACAGCCTTCCTTCAGTGTGACGTAGATCTGTCAGGCTTTTCTAATCCTAGAGTGTCATCATCTGTTTTCTATCAGAAGCTAATGCAGGAGATAGGTGTAGGAGACTATTTCATGTTCAGCCTGCATGAAACACTCAGTGTGACTGATTATAATCAGTGTTCCACACATGTACATTACTTTAGAACAGAATTGCTTCTCGAGATCCTTAAGCCTACTTTATCCTGTCAGACTGGGTCAGTTGAAGTGATTTCTTGATTTTGGCAAAAATCTGGCCTCAACTGAGCTAATTTTAGGTTAATCACGGCCATTTTATCATTTAAATGGGAAGGTTTGGATAGTTTTGTTTCCTTCCTTTAGAATTTTGGGACTGACCCCTTCTTTCCACGGGAGCCGTCAGCAGCACGTTCCTGCAGCAGCACGTCTTGCTCGCGTAAGCTGCTGCTCGGCCCTTCCCACGAGACGCGAAGCAGCAGGGGAGCAGCGTCACCGACCGAGCACGAAGTCACACGAGTGACTTCGTCAGTAAACACAACAACAAGCAGGAGAAAATTACAACATGGTTTGTGTTTTATGTTCTGTCCGTTTTATAATCGCCAATACGGACCTGAAAAACAAAGGAGACTGCTAGCTAGGTGATAACTTCTCATGGGGCCGCACAGTTAGTAACCTTTTTTTTAAAGTAAAGCACCCGGAAGGCAGCACGTTTCTTTATTCTGAAAATCTCGGGAGCTTCTCTCCATTTCCGCGTCCGATTTCCTGTCTTTCCTTCCCCAAAAATGTCGAACTTGACCCGTTTCAGAGGCGTCGCGCGTAGAAAATAGAACCGGCGCGTAAAGGCCGCGACATGCTGCTCCTGAGACGCGGCCGACTCGCGCTGCTGACGGCTCCGGTGGAAAAGGTTCTGTTGTTGACCACAGCGGTTCCTATCAGCAGCTATGATGTGCTGCTGCAGTAACGTGCTGCTGACGGCTCCGGTGGAAAGAAGGGGTGAGACCTGTTTGCTGATCAGAGACATTTAAATGACACAAAATCAGAGGAGACATCTCCATCTTAAGTCCTTTTTGCTGCAATATTCACAGTAAAAGTAGTTGTATGGACAGCTGCTATCTCCAAAATAAAAGCTCTATTTACTTTAAAATTTAGAAATTGTGTTGACTTTCTTTTTCCGCTTGACTTTTCTGAGCAGAAGCTGGGGGGTCTACGTTCACCATAGGGAAGTCTGTCTGGTTGCTGTGGGCCATCGTCTTCAACAACTCTGTGCCGGTGGAGAACCCGAGAGGAACTACGAGCAAAATCATGGTGCTGATCTGGGCCTTCTTCGCTGTCATCTTCCTGGCCTCGTACACCGCCAACCTGGCTGCCTTCATGATCCAGGAGGAGTACATCGACACCGTTTCAGGCCTCTCGGACAAGAAGGTACTTTGCCGCTTGAATACTGATTAAGTGGAAGAAGCTGAGGGAGAATTAATGTCTTGGAGTGAACCAAATCCCACGCATTTGAAAGTTGAATTGATTAAAGCATGGGAATTAAGAAATGAAGAAGTTCATTTAACATAACTCAATTACTACAATTCTTGGATACATAAAAGACGGACTTAAATGATACTTTAGGTCCACACACTGCTCTCGTTCCTTTATGGAGTCTGGAAAATGGACAGAAACAGGTCAGACAGACTGGTGCACAGCTCGTTGTGTCTCACGTCCTTTCTTTCTCCCACGATAGTTTCAACACCCAGAGGAGCAGTACCCGCCTCTGAAGTTTGGCACCGTGCCAAACGGGAGCACAGAAAAAAATATCCGCTCCAACTATCCGGACATGCACCAGTACATGGGCAAATACAACCAGAGAGGAGTGGAAGATGCAATCCTGAACCTCAAGACTGGGTGTGTCTCAGTCCTTCATTGTTTTTTCCCCCCACGCCATTTTCTCTCCTCTTCCATTTGTCATCTGATTAATTTAATTTCAAACGGTTTGTGCAGCTCATTGATCATCAACCTCTTTTTGAAACGTTTTTGCTAATTACATTTACCCGTTGAGGCTTTCAAGACACTTTTCTGGGAAAAAAACTCAAATAAATACAGCAAAATATGTGGGAGTTTGACAATGAGAACAATGAGTGATGGTTCAAGGTTTCATTTAAAAACATTTAGACGATTTATTGCTTTTTCTCTTGGGTAAAAATGCAAGTACGTGAGGTCAAATCAAGCACTTCCATGCCTTTAAAAAAGAAAACACATGACCTGTAATTTAACAGTGGAATTTTGACAATGTCGGCCGCTGGAGTTTTACCGTAAAATCTGTTTTGCCATTGTTTTTTACAGTGTATTTGCATCAACATTATCCTGATTTACAGCTGATGTCAGGGAGTTATGTGAATCAGCTTTTAACTTCTCCACTAATTACTTTTGTATAACCACGAAGTCAACAGATCCACACTGTTGGACAAAAATTGCTATTACTTTCAAGTCCAGTAGCAACAAAGCCAGGTCACCATCAGTCCGCCATTTTGCAGCCTCCTTTAGCTCCCTCAAACTAGCGTAGGCTGTACCGATGTTCACTCTGGTTTTAGCTCTTTGCTTCACCTCCAAAGACATGACTCTCTTACTTTTACTTCCGGGTTCCGCCATGATGCGAACAGAAAAAGCAAGCATCTTTTTTCTTCTGCTTGTGATTTTTTTATTGACGATCCCTGGGACACCAATTGCTCAACACAAATGTTGTGTGTGGGTTTTGGTCAGCAGAGGGCTGCAGACTGGTGTCAAATATGAAACTGGTCAAGTTAATGACTAAACATCACTGAGATCAAGGGGGCGACGGTGGCACAGGAGTTAAGTGCTCGCCTCGCAATCGGAAGGTCGCAGGTTCGAGACCCGCTCGGTCTGTCGCTGTCGTTGTGTCCTTGGGCAAGACCCTTAACCCACATTGCCTGCTGCTGGTGGTCAGAGGGACCGGTGGCGCCAGTGCTCGGCAGCCTCGCCTCTGTCAGTGCGCCCCAGGGCAGCTGTAGCTACATTGTAGCTCATCCCCACCAGCGTGTGAATGTGTGTGTGAATGGGTGAATGACTGTTTGTGTTGTAAAGCGCCTTGGGGGGTTCCAGGACTCTATAAGGCGCTATATCAGATACAGGCCATTTACCATCAATGTTAACGCTCTGGCTAAAAACTAAAAAAAAACTATCTAGTGTTGCTTTAAAATTACAAACTAAATCTTTTAGAATTTTTGACTAAACAAGGAACAGGAAAGGTCTACTCCAAGGTACTGGAGAGGAGGGTCCGATCGATAGTTGAATCTCAGATTGAGGAGGAGCAATGTGGTTTTCGTCCTGGTCGTGGAACTGTGGACCAGCTCTATATCCTTGCAAGGGTGATGGAGGGGGCATGGGAGTTTGCCCAACCAATCCACATGTGTTTTGTGGATTTGGAGAAGGCTTATGACCGTGTCCCCAGGGGCACCCTGTGGGGGACGCTCCAGGAGTATGGGGTGGGTGGCTTTCTGTTAAGGGCCATTCAGTCCCTTTACCAGAGGAGCGTGAGTTTGGTCCGCATAGCCGGTAGTAAGTCGGACCTGTTCCCAGTGAGGGTTGGACTCCACCAGGGCTGCCCTTTGTCACCGGTTCTGTTCATTACCTTTATGGACAGAAGGCGCAACTGTGGTGTGGAGTGTGTCGAGTTTGGTGGCAGGAGAATCTCGTCTCTGATTTTTGTGGATGATGTGGTCCTCCTAGCTTCATCCAGCTCTGACCTTCAGCTCTTGCTGGGTAGGTTCGCGGCCGAGTGTGAAGCGGCTGGGATGAGGATCAGCACCTCCAAATCTGAGACCATGGTTCTCGACCGGAAAAGGGTAGCTTACCAACTAGGGTTGTCCCGGTATGAAAATTTAACCTCACGGTTATTGTGACCAAAATTATCACGGTTTTCGGTATTATCGCGGTATTTTTTAAACGGTGTTGCATATGTTCAGAAAGCATTGATAGTCCTGTTCTACACAAACTGAAATAGTTCTGAAAAGGTTTAACAGTGTTTATTAAAGCTAAAATAACACAAGCCTTAGCAAAAGTGCAACTTTTCACAAGTAAAGGAACAGATAGCTTCTTTTTCTGGAACATGTTGCAGTAGTCAGTGCAGGTTTAAATTATACAAATCCAAACATTCAAACCATAAACAATATGTAAACAAATCAAGGAAACACCACTTGTTTTCTCATATACTTGTTTTCTTCATTATCAAAATGAAAATCTAAAACTCCAGTCCACACTTGACTTGAGCACTGTACAAGTCAACCTTAAAAAATATGTATTTAAAATAAATAGCCACTTTAAACAAATGACTAAAATAACTACTACACTATGTAATCAAATCCAAATGTTCAAGTATAAATGGCATTGAATAAGTAAACAAATCAATGACAAGGAACTAATTGTATATTTCTCTTCATCATCAACAAATAAGATGCTTCATCCAGCAACAGGGTGTCCGTGACACGGTTTAAATGCTGGCAGAGGACGCTGCGGCTGCAGTTTATAGTGACTTGTTGCATTCTCTCTCAACCAAAAGTCCTCACGTCATGCATTTAAGCTAAAATGCTAATGTTAACTTACCTTGCACTGGCTGTAGAGACGTGGGTGATGGTCACGCAGATGTGCCATTAGATTCGAAGTGTTGCTGCCTTTTGCAGACACTTGTTTCCTGCACGTCCTGCAAACGGGATAGCCGTCTTCTATTAACTGTCCCTCAGCATTTTTCAGAAATCCCAAATATGCCCATACTTCCCATTTAGTCTTCTTTGAGGGCTGATGGATGTCCTGGGCGCTGCCGTCTCCTCCTTCGGCCATTATTTCAGCTTCAACGTTTTGGTGCCGTTGCAAACTAAAAAGTGCGCGCCGCGGGAACTTCAGCTGAAGCGACGGTGGCTGGTAAGGGTCATCGCGCCGAAACCGCGGCCACGGTAAACCCACCGAGATAATTTAGTTTATTAAAAACTGGACGGTTATTTTTATTGTCAACTTTTTTACCGGGGTTTACCGCTATACCGGTTACCGTGACAACCCTATTGCCAACTCCGGGTCGGGGGAGAGGTCCTACCTCAAGTGGAGGAGTTTAAGTATCTCGGGGTCTTGTTCACGAGTGAGGGTAGGAGGGATCGGGAGATCGACAGGCGGATTGGTTCGGCGTCTGCAGTGATGCGGACGCTGAGCCGATCTGTCGTGGTGAAGAGGGAGCTGAGCCAGAAAGCCAGGCTCTCGATTTACCGGTCGATCTACGTCCCAATCCTCACCTATGGTCATGAGCTTTGGGTAATGACCGAAAGAACGAGATCGCGGATACAAGCGGCCGAAATGAGTTTCCTCCGTAGGGTGGCCGGGCTCAGCCTTAGAGATAGGGTGAGGAGCTCGGACATTCGGGAGGGGCTCGGAGTAGAACCGCTGCTCCTCCGGATTGAAAGGAGTCAGATGAGGTGGTTTGGGCATCTGGTCAGGATGCCGCCTGGACGCCTCCCTGGGGAGGTGTTTCGGGCATGTCCTGCCGGCAGGAGGCCCCCGGGTCGACCCAGGACACGTTGGAGAGGTTACATCTCCAATCTGGTCCGGGAACGCCTCGGGGTCCTGCCGGAGGAGCTGGTGGAGGTGGCCTGGGAGAGGACGGTCTGGAGCTCCCTAGTTGGGATGCTGCCCCCGCGACCCGGACCCGGATAAGCGGAGGAAGACGACGATGACAAAGCTTTGATGAAAATCTGTTTTTATGAACTGCTTACCGTTTTGTTGCTTGATCTCACCAAAACTTTAAATGCACTTCTGCACCGCTAACAATCTACATCGAAACATTTCTACAGCAAAAGCATCGATGCAAACTTTAGTTTAGCGTCCCGAGACCCAAGCTTTTGCTTGCTGTGCGTTATTCTCTGACCCCCCTAGCTATCTGAGATGAGCAGGACCTAATAAACATCAGGAATATACATTATAGTTTAACAATTATTAGCAAAAAACAAAATAATAGCTTAACTGTTTATTAAAATCAAGTCTTGTTGGATAAAACAGGTCAGATGAAGTTGTTTGGCCTCGGGAGGTTAAATGATCACTTGCAGAACCTTTAATATTCCGGGTTTACATATGTGCAGTTTTGTCTGTCTGGGTATTCCGGTGCAGTTTTTATGCGACACACTCCGTCAGCGATCACAGGAACGCCTGTCAGCAGGTGTGATGTGCTTTTATTTGAGGTTTCGTATCATTTTTTTTAATATATTCTCACTCTGTCACTAGCAGGCCCTCATCCACGGTGGCATTCTTTTCAACTCCAACTAACATTTCACATCTTTTGTCACACTTCATGCTTCGCTGCTCAGATTCTCTCACCTCTCTCCGCTCCCTCTGCACCTTCTCAGCCATCTCCGCACACACAGTGTGAGCGGCGTTTCCCCTCCTCGCTTTTCCTGCGGAGTCTCCATCCCTCGTCGTGTTGAATAATCCCAATTTACCTCATCCCAAAGCCTCCGTCGTCATCCACCCTGCCCTGACACCACAACTATAAACCGGCGTCAGCGTGCACCAAACATTAGAGGCTCCTGCTTTTATTCTTCCTCTCTCTCTCTATCTGTTCTTTAGGACTTATCTTTCCCTTCTTCTCCCTCCTCAGCTGCCCTTTTGTGCTGGTTTCTATTTTTCATCCATTCTTTCTCCTCCTGCCATGCTTTCTGTGTGTGTCTGTATTTAAACTTTATAATCCTCATCACTCTCCGCTTCCATCCCGTGTCTTTTCCACCCTGAAGTGTGTAAATCCCCCCACCCAGCACCCCTCCCCTGCCACTGCACTCGCTGCTCTGTAAATCCCCCCCACCCCCGCCACCGCCTCCCTCTCACTCACAGATCCTCACCTGATTCCTGCCTTATTTTATTCTCCGTGTGTTTTCACTCCGGCTGCTAAACCTGCTTTACTATTCCACCCTTTCTCGCTCTCTTAGTCATTATTTAACGTTTTATGCTCTCTCCATCATTCTCTGAGCCTGTCTGCTGTATATTTTTGCACCCCACTTCTCAGGTACATTGTGGAGATATACCTTTATATGCCCCCCCCCCATTAGTTTGTTTTGCCTCAGTCAGCCTCTCCATCCCTGTGCCGCCTCTCCTCCATTAAATGATGACTGAATTCTCCCCTCACAGGAAGCTGGATGCTTTTATTTATGACGCTGCAGTGTTGAACTACATGGCCAGGAAGGACGAAGGCTGTAAGGTGAGGATCGACGCACGTTCTGGATTCGGCGTGTGCTGGACGTGAGTTTTTGACGATCTGCGTGTCGTCCTCTCTCCAAGGTGATGACCATAGGCTCGGGGAAGGTTTTTGCCACCACAGGCTACGGTATCGCCTTGCACAAAAACTCACGCTGGAAACGTCCTCTTGACCTGGCCCTGCTGCAGCTGGTGGGAGATGGTAAGAACTTTTTAATGGGGGAGGGGGATAATTAGCACAGCAGAAGGAAGGCTGGAGGATGAGGTTGGGGGAAGCAGGGGGACGTTGAACTATGGCGCGGTATGGGGGCCAAAATTAAGACTACTGCCCAGCAGCAGGAGGATATATAAATTCTGAACTAGGGCTGCAACAACGAATCGATAAATTCGATGAAAATCGATTACTAAAAGCGTTGGCAACGAATTGCGTCATCGATTCGTTGTGTTGCACAACTCTTCCAAAAGCCCCCCCCCCCCCCCCCCCCCCCCCCCCCGCCGTTGCGCGCAGACCAGAGCAAGTCAGATCAGCGCGAGGGAGAGCCGCAGATCAGCGCGAGGGAGAGCCGCAGATCAGCGCGAGGGAGAGCCGGCAGACTTGCGCTGCTGCGAACCGGTTCCGCATTGTTGCACAGCGATCCAGGCAGCTGCTTCCAGCGCACGGTCCATTCTCAAAGTGGCGCAACCAAAAAACTATAATTAGCACACGATCGTTCATGTCCGCACATGTTCTCTATTTTCTGTCTTATTTGTGCCTGAAGCTCGCTACTGCGGAGCTCATCACCTGTGCTGTGGTGATTTCACCTCACGCAGCATCGAAAACGCGCTCTGCGCTTTTCGGTCAGGAGATCCCTTTGATCTGCTCAAAAGTAACTGATGAGGTGAAAAGGTAAGAATCCAGGCAACAGATTTTCTGGAGAGTTTAGAGGAGATGCAGGAAGATGAGAGACAGACAGGACAGGAAAATAGTTCAATAAAAACAAGAAAACAAAACAAAGTGTTGAAAAGTCAAATGTAGGTAGATTTATCTCCACTACACGTTTTTACCAGTAAAAAACAATAAGTTATACACATGTCATATTTATACATCTGATACAATTCAGATCACCTTCAACACTCAGTCACACACCCAGGGCCGTTTCAAGACATTTTGGGGGCCAAGGCAAAATGCCCCCCCCCCCCCCCCCCCCAATAACTGGGCTCCCCAGAAGCCTCTGTGTAATTCATGCCCTCTCCAGTAGTGTTAGTTATACAGTGTTTATAAAAGCCCCTCAGACATTACTGACATGTTCTAATATTATCAGATGAAAAACTAAATTATCAGACATGCTGTCTCATCTGCTTATTTTATAAACTTGCAAAAAGTAACAAAACCATTTGAAAGCCACTATTTGTGGATTCTCTGAAAGTTTCCATGGAGTGTGTGACAACTTATTTTTTCATTGATCCTATCGTCTAATCTCACAGCTGAAACAAGCATCCTTAATAATCTGTACACAGGAAGCTTACCGATGCTGTAGTAAAACAAAAGGTATAATAATTTATTATTAATAAAACCTTGTTGCAGCACTAAAGCAGAAAAATTAGATTTTGCATTAAATATGCAAAATATTTACATATGAATTGTTTTAGAGCCCTTTAATTGGCAGAATCTGATATTAATTTAGTTCTTACAAAAAATGGGTCCCAACATGGTTTGTGTGGCGTTGCCATAGTGTGACGTCATAGTCACAGATCCCCTGTCCTCTTGTTTGGAAATGGAAATATGGTCACCCTACATTAAACAAACTGTCCACCCGGGCTTTTGCACTGCACAGAGACGCTTCGCTGCCTACGACTGAACGTCAGTTGAGAGTCAGTCTCATGCAGACTAACCAATGAAGAGAGGGCCTCAAGTTAAGACCCTCTCCTCATTGGTCAGTCCACACGAGGTGGGTCAAAGGTTACTCTGGGTGGGTTACGTGTTGTCAGGCATTCAAGTATTGAGTATATTTACTGCATATTACAGTAAAATATTCTGTATGTGACCACATTATGGTGATCCTTGGGTTGTGATGATGGAGCCCTTGAATATTGTTGCCCAGGGTACAACAAAGTGTTAATCTGGCCCTGGTTCCGCCGTCACATTCCCGCAGAAACTGGTTGATCACACCGAGGCCAGACTACTAGCATGTGGTTTTACAACCACAATGTCCTCAGAAGCAAAAACGCTTTTAAAAGGGAGGGAGGAGTCCTAACTGTTGCTGCAGGCGTGTTGTGTGAGAGTGCAGTTATATACTGGTTAATATATTTTTGGGTTCAGTTGCTTTCATGTGGCCTAATGTGAGTCTATTTGGGATCATTGGAATGATCAGCAGCATTTCTTGATGTGACTTTATGGCAGTTGCCCAGGGCATCATCGCAAGGAGGATGGCATTCATTTACTTTTGCTTTATTTGGTATTTTTTCAGTCATTTTTGGAAATAGTGATCAATTTTGATTAATTCACAGCCTATGTTTAATTACATTTAAAATAAATGTCAACAGATGAGATCAAACAAAACAGATGAGAATTGCCCTTAAGCTGTTTAACTTGGACTAAGCATTTTAGGTCACAGATAGATGTAGCTTAGGGTCTCTGTCTACACACCTTATAAGACAATTTAGGTGATGGCATGTTGTTTTTCTGCTATTGAACTGTTTTCTAATAATGTTGTGTTAAATAAAGTGAAGGAAGGAGAGAAATAACGTTTCCCTAGCAGTTTTTAAAAATTTCCCCATGTAATCCGATTAATCGATTAATCGTGTCGAGACCCCATCCGATTAATCGATTATCCAAATAATCGTTTGTTGCAGCCCTATTCTGAACCAAACTACCGACCTGATTAATGATAAGCTGGCGCCGGCAACTGAGGAATAGCACCTTTACCGGTGTTATTAGTAGATATGCTAGGGACTAGCAGCCCTCGGCTGGTCATTGACTGGTTCAAACACTCCCTCTGCTGTCTATTAGCATGGATAGGCTAGCGTTAGCCTGGACGGGCTGGTGTTAGCATTGGAGAGGCTAGCCATTAGCGTGCCTAGGCTGGCCACTAGCTGACTAGTGTCTCTCCGAGACATGCTAATGGCTAACCTC